GTTCGGTCATGGTTGTAACGCGCTCACACGGAAGCGTGCTCCGGGGAGTTAATCAAAGGGATCGGATTCTCTTGAAAGATCGTACCTTGTACATGCCACGTCTCGCCTCGGGCTTGAACAGGTTATACTAGCAGACGGTCTCTGTGATACGCAGGCCAGGGAAAAGAGTGCTCGTACTTGAGCGGCTGGTGAAACAGGTGGTGGTCCCACTTTGAGCAGACGTAAACGCCCTGAAGAGTAAAGGATGGGGGGTTAAGGATGTGAGAACAATGCGAGGAGAGAGCTATATGATAAGATTCAGGAACTGGTTTGTTACAATACAGGGATCACTTGTTGGTGTCGGTGCGACTTAGATGGTAGTAGTCGCGCGCTCTGTGTTCGCTGGTCGTGCACGGTAAAAGGACAAGAGAAACGCCCTGTGACGCGTAGATTAGAAAACAAGTCAGTTCTCAATGTGAAAAAAAACATGCTGTATGGGCCTATTTATGATGACATAGGTAGTGCATAGGCTAAGTGTTAAATTCAACCATATTTTTCAGGCAGTGAGAGGACAGGCAATGATGCAGAGAGCACAGGGAGAGGAGAAACACCAAGTCCAATAGAGAGACAAGAAGCACAGAGGAGCCATGAACCCCAGAACACGCGTTCTGGGGTTCATGGCTCCTCTGTGCAAGGCAGGACCTGACGTGGAGGACAAGGAGGCCCTCTGGGCACTACTGTAAAAAGGAGACTCCGTATGTAGATAGTTCTTAATCTGCAATTGTGTTGTTGTGTTGTGTTGACATACTTTTCTTTACTGTTTTCTTAGATTTAATAAACTACAAACTACTAACACATGTGTTCATTGTCATTGATTGTATATGACTTTTACTGATAACATAATGCAATATAGCCAGGACAGCCTTACAAGAGTCGCGACGCTTTGTGTTGCGTTGCTTCGCATCGCGTCGAGGTCTGTATGATCACAAAATTCAGAGTTTAACCACCTCTAATTTTACCACTACAGCACTGGCTCCTACATATGTGAAAATACATTCTCAGTGATTTTGCAAAATCCGGGTATAGATCCTCTCTCAGTGATGATCATCTGGCAGCTGTGCTTCACATCAACACCTCAGACATTCAACCTGACTTTGATGCACTTGTGAATGCCCCAACAGAGACTAGATTCTCTCACTGAACTGAAAAAAATCCAATGAGGTGGTTAGACTAGAAATGCTGGCACGTAAAGGCACCAACTAGCAGTGAACTGGGACACTTTCTTTGGAGGCCTTTTTCTAGAAATCACACTTCAATGACAATCGTTATAATATGATGTATCTTGCTTACTATTTGGAGTACCAAGACAATATTGTGGTGTCTTTAAAAAGCTAAGAACCTTTTTCCAACAGTAGGCTATATGTAACTCAAACGGTGTTTTGGGATGGATGTGGCTGAAAATGACTCTAATATAATGAGTCACAAATGGTAAAAACGTTCACATTTAGTTTATTTTGGTGTTTCTGGATGATTTTTGTTTTGCAGAAATGGTTATCCTCCAGGGCTGAATTCAAGCCCAAGTCAGACCTCTAGTGGTGGGTGGGGAAAAGCGTTTCCTTCTGAATTGCAAATTTAGGACCGTTTCACACTCACAGAAAGAGAAATTGTTTTTTCTTTTGCTTCATTGGCAAGATCAAAATGTTTCTATTACTGTTTTTGTTTACCATTGAATAAATGACATTTTTTGTAAGGCAACCTTGCGTTTTCATTGCTTACTCATAACATGCAATACTCTTACCAGTCCTACAGGCTTGTCAAAACAATGTTATATACTGCTTTTATATGGAAATATGATTAATATTATGCAGAATTGAGTTCAGCCTTTGTCTTGGCCCCCCACAATATTTTCTGTTTCCCATGTGGCCCCATGGAAAAAATAATTGCCTGGTCTAGCAGCTAGCATAGCATAGCAGCTAGCTTAGCATAGCGGTGCGTTAAGTGGTCCGTTTGCCACCCACCCACCTTCAGTTTGACACCAGTAAAATGACAGGCGTTCATTTTGCATTCTTTTGAGGAATGTAAAAAACACAATCCTAGGGATCATGAACTAAACTAACACCGATTTATTTTTTTACTTGATGAACAGGCTGATCATCATTGTGAATCATTTAGCCGCCTGATAAAATTAATAAAACTCTTTCTTACATCTAAGAAGAACCATTGAGATTGGCTATAACATCTATCAACACATCTCTTTTAGATTTTTGTTTATTTATCTGAAATGCAAAATTATAGATGTCAGCACTGACGCATATCATGTAAACCCACTGCCGTGAGTGGTGACATCCCATATGGGCCACAATATGAGCTCTGGCTGCCACACTTCCTATCCAGCTCTCTGCTATGGCCTGGGAAAGCAACACAAGATAGCCCAAGCCCTTGGGCTCCTGCATCTGCATTGCACACCTGGTAGAAGCAGCTCGCTCTGGCTTACGATCAGCACAGCTCAGTCATTGTAGACAGATGCGAGTGAACTACTGCACGAGACGCTTTCTCTTCTCAGCTCTGCTCTCTGCACTCTGCCTTCAATAAATAGTAATGTTTTTTTTTTTTTT